TTACAGGAACGGTCGAAGACAGCCGACACTTTGAAAGTTCGCCGTGATGGACATTTCGCCGTCCGAGAAAACGTGTGGACGCGGCTTAAATCGATCAGCGGCCTTAAGAAACACGGTGCATAGCCCGAGGGACGGCGAGGCAGTGGCATGCAACAGGCCACTAGCTTCGTAGAAAGAGAAGCCCGTGTAGAAAGACTGTTCGGATCAAAGCACTTACCACGGTATTTATGCTCGCTCCTTAAACAGTCCTTTCGTACAGGATAAAAACGCTCCCATTCATCAAGCGAGCATCGCGGAAGTCAATTATCGTGCCTCGTTTCTTAATTAAAACTGGTCTTGCTACCAAGCGTAACGATAAGTGAGAAAACTTTTCAACCAGTGCTACCTCGTTTTTCTTTTCGCCCCTTGTGTTCCTTCCTATTTTCTATTACGTTTTTTTTCTTTTCTTTCTTTCTTTCTTTCTGAATTGGAGAATTCGATTTGCGTCAACGATCATCTTAACGACTTTAAGTCTTAAAATTTCATTTTAAAACTGATCCATTTTTTACATATATATTCGCATAAAAATAGATATATATTTATCTTATCTCTTTTTCTTTACACGTATGCCATTTTATGTGTGGAGAATTATATAACAATAAGAAATTAAAAGTAAGAACAAAGAAATGTGCGTAATAAAATTTTCGTCGTATCAATTTTCCATGTTAATAAGTGTCTATATACATGTATATACGACAAAGATGCAAGAGGAACCGTTCAAGTTTATCATAAATGCCGGGCGTAATTTACTTTGCAAAGACGGACTTAACCCAATAACGTCGAATACATTTCGTGGAGCGAAAGAGGAGTGACATCACCGACAATGTCCTTTTCACCCATGGTACACGTAATTGCGAAGGCTAACCGTGTTAGCGGTTCGTGGTCGCGATAATGTGAACTTCGCAACCCCTAATAAAGAACCGATCGGCGCTACTCGCATCCCCGTGTTTTCGAAAATCTTTGCAACGAGAAAAAAAAGAAAGAAAGAAAGAAAGAAAGAAAGAAAAAAGCGAACGAAGAAATCCATCAGTTTATTTAACCCCATAAGCAACCTCTGAAATGTTGTCAATTCGAAATTGAATAAATAATTTATTTAATCCAATACAAAAATCTTCCAGTGAGTGCACGAGGTTGGAATATTTTACAATAATTTGCAATCTTTTGATCGCATCCAATATAAACAAACCAACGTTTTGCACGATCTAATATCAAGCTCTTTTTTAAAATTTATTCTTAACAAAAAAAAAAAAAAAAGAAAGAAAA